TTTTATATTCCTTTTCTTTGGAAAAATAGACATTTTAACTCTTAACTCCTCATTCTCCCAAATGGCAATTTTTATAGATAAGAAGGAGAATAAAAATAACATTTTAATGGTAGAGGAAAAATAGAGATTGCCTGGAGAGAGTCGAAAACATAGTGAATCACATGGAACAAATTTATTTGACATAAGACCGTAGTGTGACATTTCATCTGAAGATAACACAGGGAGATAGAGTCTGTGCCAGGAAATCTAGGGCTAAATTCTTTCTGGGCTTCATAGCCGCCAAATTGTTCTCCACTTCAAATGTAGACACAGTCTCTAAAGATATGAATTGTTTTTAGAATGAAGACAATTACTTTCAAAGAGCTGTTTATTCAGGACCATGGATTTCTGAAGTAATGAGACTTAGTTTTATTATTTAAAGAATTAAGTATCTTGATGGGAAGTAAGATTTTGAATACTTTTCATTTTGTATATTTAAAGCCATTTCTTTGTTTCTTCTGTGGACAGAGAATGAACATTACCTTGAGTAGTTTGAAGGAAAAAGTCAATACAGCACAATGCCCGTTACCTCTTTTCACCTGTCTGCATGTCAAACCCGATGTTTCAGAACTGATGTTCGCAGGTATGTAATTCCTTCTTTTAAAACATTTCCTGGAAACTTTGACCTGTGGTTTCTAATGATTTTTTTTAAGGAAGCAATTTCAGTTGCTTATTTTAATGTATTTTCTGTAACATAAAAACATTTGAAAATACAAGAAGATATTAAGCTAGATTGTTTTCTGGTTGTAGAGAGTACCCCATGAAACTAATTACTAATATAACTTCATTGATATTAGTGAAATAAAAAATAAGTTATAAAAAATAAATCATAGACGTAATCAACAACTCAATTTTAATTACTTATTTTCAAAGATTTTCAACAAAACAGTATGCCTAGCACTTTCAGGAAATACATATTCTTTTGCTTGCCACTTACATAGTTATTAAATTGGATAATATGATATACATTTATCATTCAAAGCACTATTCTAATTTTTATAATTCAGCACCTAAAAGGCACTAGTCTATACTGTGGCAGCTGGTGAATAAATGCCTCATTTTGTTAAATCTCAGATGTAAACACTTGTTTCTTCTGCAGCTTTGCTTCTCGTTCTGTGCCCTAAAAGTATGTGACATACTTCTGGGGACTTCTGCCTATTCTACTCTGCAGTGTGGCAGCATTTCTGACTTTGGCTGGAAAGGTCCTTTGTATTTTTAGGAAAAGTATCTCAATGACATCAGTTATACCATGAGCTTAAAAAATCATTATGAATGTCATGTAATTAATAAATGTAGATCCATAATCCTTTTGTAGTTTTACCAAGTCTCCTTTTTTTCCTCAACTGATTACTCTCAGGCAAAAATTTCAAATTGTTTATAAAATGCAGTGTACCTGGAATTTATTTATTCAAAAAATGTTTATAAGTTATATTGACTAAAATGTTTATCATGCTTATAGTTCAAAAAGCACTTATATTTATTGTCTTATTCAATTTTTACTACAACCCAGGGAGGGAGAGATTTTTTAACTCAGCTTCACAAAAGGGAAAAACAAAACCTCAGAAAGAATAAATGATTTGCATATTGCCACATAGTAGTAAGTAACAGAGCTGAAAACTGGTCTCAAATATTCTTCGTACTATCCATAAAAACATTAGCTTCTTTGATTACTGACCATTTGAATGTAGCAGGTCAGGGCTAAGCGTGAACTCCCCTCCCCCAAGACAGTACGTCATTCTCTAAGACCTGGTAATCTGTTTGGAAAATTTATAATAATGATTAAAGAAGTTAAGGCTCAAGAAAGAATGGAATATTACGACACACTGGTCCCTTGCCAAGGAACCATAACACCTTTTGACCTCAGTTTCCTCATCTGTTCATGAAGGATGAGACTCTCCTCATAGTGTCTTGATAAGGAAATGAGATAAAGCCCAGTTTAAGTTTCAAGAAATCTTAGCAAGTTAGAGTATATATAAGAAAAGCCAGAGATCTGGATCTTAAGGATGAATAGGATCTGTATATGAAAGGCAAATTTAATCACTGGGTGGGGGTGAGGAATGCAGCAGGAGTCTAGGAAACCTGGGCTGTGCTCAGCAGCAAAAGGAACCACACCTGACTGTCATGGCAGTCATAGGAAAGCCGAGATTTCACGACATAAGAAAAGTATGTGCCGTTGTGCAACTGGTTTTTGTTCATTTGAGTCATTTTTTTGCTATGGCTATTGTCTTGGAATGTTTTGTTCATTTGAGTCATTTTTTTCCTATGGCTATTGTCTTGGAATGTTTGGAAATTGGCTGATAAATACCATTAGCATGCTGGTCAATTCTGTACATAGACAAATAAGCCATATTTTACCCCAGAAACATTATGATATGGTCAAACAAGCACCACACTAATTTGGAAGCCTCGACTTACTTCTAAGCTGAAATACCTTAGGCAGGTCATTTAATCTCTCTGATTCTTATTTTCTTCATTATTAAAGAAAAAGATATTAATATTAATTAATCAGATTTATCTTACAAAGCTATTAAGACAATTCCATGAGATATGCATAAGACTGACTATGATAAAAAGACAAAAATATAATATTTTTATTACTATCGTTATGATTGTTATGGCATTTTCACAGTTGCCTTTTTTATTCCGAACTTTTAGTCGGTAGTCATTCTCTAGAGAAAACCTGACTAAAATAATTAAAGAATAAATAATATTTCAGCGAGCGAATATTTTGGAATCATCCAGAGTGAGAAAAGGCTGTTTTACATTCAGTTAGTAATCTTAGGCCTAGATAAGTCTGATTTGGGCCATCTGCCTAACTGTGATATTGTTGCTGAGATGAGTGGTAAACCATTAATGAAGCTTCTGTGATAATGAGGTTCAAGCTATTTCTTTCCACAGAGTTGGGCGAAGCCATCAAACATTAGTTATGTGGATCTTGTACCCCGATAAGACATTCAGAGTTGCATGTTATGAGGGTTCAAGTAGCTTGAGTTATTGAGGGAAAAAAAAGAGTGGAGACATCTACACTTTATGCCTTTGAAATTTGCTTTGATTAAAAACGGATATTCAATTAAAAAATGGATATTCGAGGGGAAAAAGTTGAAATATCTGAATTATATTTTTAAAAATCAAAGAACCATACTAGCTTACAGAAGTTTTATCAACTTTTCTTCAACAATATCGGAGAATGTTTTTCTTCCCTCTTAGAATAATTTTAAACATTTCCCCTTGTGAAGATTTTCAACAAATAAACATTAATCGTTTGAACTGTTAAGTATTTTTGACTCCTCCACTTCACTACATTGTTGACAGCGCTTAAAACTTTTATTTAAAATTTTCCATTGGTGAATAAATTGCATTTACTGAGCACAACTCATTGACTCTACATCATGTTAAGTTCTTTGACAGACACTAAAAGAGTAAAACTATAGTACTTTTCTTCAAGAAAGTGACAATCTTATTAACGAGACAAAAGATGGAGTATAAAAAATTAATGAGCCATACATGTAGAATATTATTGTCTGTTTAAATGTGTAGAAGTGACAGAAGTGGAAGATATCAAAGATATTCAGTATAGTCATAAAAAGACTTCATGAGGGTGATGGGACATGCCTTCAAGCTGAACTTGCAAAGATCTGTCAAGTGGAGATGAAAAGTTATCTTTGCATAAAACAGTATGAGAAAATGCTCAGAAGGGAAGCCAAAAGAATGCTGTGGGGAGCAGTAACAAAACACTAGCCTTGGAATGAACCGGCGAAGAGTAGGTGATATACTTGGCAAAACTGTTAATGTCAAGCTACAGAAAGATTTGAACTCCAGACAAATGTTTTTATTAGATTATGATGATAATAGGAAATAGTTAATGCTTTTGGGTAGGGCAATACAATGATTTAAGAAATGTTTTTGAAAAAAGCATTTTGGTGATTCATATGGGTAGATTGGAAAGAAAAGAAATTGAAAACAGTGATATCACTCTGTTTTTGTAATAAGGGCTTAGAACTAGGGAGATACTGATAAGAAAAAGGAGGAGAAGATAGATATGAAAAATCTAAATGTTACTGGTGAGATGTGCTGATGATTTGCTGTGAGTGGTTTCAGTTAAAAGATATTTGGTTTTTAGGGAGGATGTGATACTATAGTTTATAGAAACAGGTAAACTAGACTGAGAGGAGAAGCGACGAATTCCTTTCCAGGCAAGTGTAGTGGAATGTGATGACGGCAGATCCAAGCGCAGCAGGAAGTTGGAAATAGGTAGCCGGAGGTGCAAGAGAGAGGTTCAGACTCGAAATGTACAAGTTAACAGTAAGAGAATAATAGACAAATACTACCATGGTCAGTTCTTTAGTAAGGATTAGACAGCAAATCTTACCTCTTGAGAATGTCTATAATTACTGTGGGTACGAGCCACAGCATTAATAAGAAGATGGCGAGGGAAGTAGGAACCAGGAGATTATGCTTCAGTACCCAAGAGAAGGGTGTGAAATTCAGAAATAAGAAATTACTCTTAGTGATATAGAAATTTTCCTAACAGCCTCTAATTTATTGCGAGTCACGTCTCACTAACTATAAAATACAGAACTTTCTGATGAAGGGTATATATGCTATTGGCTTTGATTTGAAATGAATTATAAATAAATGTGTCCTCATCACAATTGTGATTTTATCTCCCTTTTCATGAAAGTAGAATGTTCTGATCTACCACTGAGTAAATAGTAAATATATATCCACAATTTCTTTTCCAAACTTTGGAAACAGATGTTTTAAAATTCAGAATATTTTAGATTTAAAATTTTTAAAAAATTGTGTATTGCATAATACTCCCACTGGAGTCTTATAATCAAATAGAGTGATTTCTCCAGTAAAATGTATCAATATTCAGATTGAGTGTGATAAATAAAGATTAAGCTTCATATCATTTCAAGACTGGTTTTTCTGCTAAATGAGTTCAGGTCAGTTTTTACCACCAAATTAACAGGAAAAAAAATTTTTGGTTTTGGAGTTATTTGAATTTGGGATTGTTGGGTAAAGCATGTAAACAAGTTATAATTTCAGAAAGAAAAAAACGAACAAACAAAAAATGAAGGAGGGCAGAGGGTTATTGGTTATACAGGGTTGGGTGGTAATAGTATTCAATGGGGGATGGGCAACAAAGACCTTGAGCTAAAGGTTAAGAAAAAGAAGCTTTATAATTGCAGAAAGGAATAAGAAGCGTGAAGGCACCAAGGTGGGAATGAGCTTGGTCTCTATGAGGAACATTAAGAAGGCTTGTGTGGCCGAAGTGAAATAAGCAAGACAAACATGATGGGAGATTGGTTAGAGTGTGTGGTCCAGCAGGGAGCATAAGCCAGACCATCACGAAGCCTTGTCAGTTATGTTTTTATTTTCAGTGTAATGGGAAGTCATTGGAAAGCTTTCAGCTGGCATCGTATGCTATGACTTGAACTTTCAAAACTATTTTCCAGCTACAGAGTATCAGAAAGACAGTAGGGGAAGAGGGAAGAGATATTTCAGGAGGCTATGGTGAAGATCCATGGGAGAGAATTTGAGAGCTTGTCATGGTGGAAAAGGAATAAGTTTCTAACCATACCCGATAAGAGAGCCTATAGAACTTGATATTTGTTTTTTTTTGGAAAGAGAATCCTCAATGATAATTCTAAAGTATGAATAGTGGTATGTATGAAAAGTAGTACCATTTACCACGAAGAGGAAGACTGAGAGAGGCAAGTGTAGAAAGTGGGAGTCAGAAACCTGGAATTCTTTTAAATACATCAAGATTCAGATAATTATTAGACATATTCTAGCCAGAGACATACAAGAAATATCATAGTGACTACCATTTATTCAGTGATTAAAATGTGTTGTGTCCTCTTGTAAACTCTTTACATTTCTTAATTCATTATATCCTCATGACAGTTCTACAAACTACTGATTTTATTCACATTTTACAGATTAAGGAACTAAGACACAGGGAACACAAGTAATCTACCCAAGGTTGCACAGTTGGTAAGCAGCAGAATGGGATTTGAACCCAGGGCTCTGGCTTCAGAGCTTCTGCTGTTAGAAAGTATACTCTATTGACCTTATTACTATGTATTTCTTAAGATATTCAGCATAAAAACTTGGTATTATAATCTCGTGAGTTGGAAGAATGGTTAATAAGCAAAGTTGAGGAAAGGTGAAGAAAAGGCAAATGTTAGAAACACTGTCTCCCATTTTAGTAGTTCGTCTGCATTACCAAGAAGAGTTTAAATCTATCTCCTTTATGGATTTTAAATCTGAGAGGACAGTTTTTAGTTTTCCATTTTTTTAGAGTTAAGATAAATTTGTAAAAGATATGCGGATTTTTAAATGCAAAAAAGTATTCGATTTGTGCAAATTAGAAGGAATGCTTTTGTGTTCTCATCTTATTCATCTATAAGCTTTTTCCCCCAATTTCAACTTCTATATAATGCCTTCTACATAATAGGCATGTGGTTATTTAAAAAAAACTTTTAAAATAAATGAATGAGAATAATTATGGCATTGTTGAAGTGATCTTTAACTGTCTGTGCACATGTCTGTAGTATTTTCCTATTAGTGGATTGAATTTTTTTTTTTATTTGGATGCTTTCAGATTGGGTTGAATTTAGTCCATATGAGATTGGCATGGCTAAATATGGTACTTTTATGGCTCCTGACTTATTTGGAAGCAAATTTTTTATGGGAAAAGTTGTGAAGAAATACGAAGAAAACCCCTTGCATTTCTTAATGGGTAAGTGATCAAAATACTACTAGTATGTCTGTTTTGAATCTTGGTGCATTCTAAGTTGTTCTCTGGTTTCGCTTTATTTTAGGTGTCTGGGGCAGCGCCTTTTCTATATTGTTCAACAGAGTCTTGGGAGTTTCCAGTTCACAAAATAAAGGTTCCACCATGGAGGAAGAATTAGGTATTATAAAAACATGCTTACTTTGATCGTAATTATGCTACCTTGATAAATTTCATTAACAGATATATGTTGAGAAAACTAAATAATCATAAAAATGGAATGTTCTAAAGGTATCAATAATTTGGTTGAATCAACCTAAATGTCTCCTAAGAACAGTATGTACATTACTTCTTAACTACAGAGCCGCATTGTCTTAAGAGTAACTAATGCTAAATACTCTGACTTCATTTATTTTAATGAACATTATTATTCTGGTATAGTGTTCTCGACTCTAATTTTGTGAAAATAACTAACTCTTCTCTAACTTATGTGAAGATTTCAGGGAAAAAAAAAGGAAAAAGAATAAAAGTACCACACGGTACCACATGTGATGGGTCTTGCTTCTCTGTGTTCCTTCTCTGTTGAATAATCCAGATAAACCTAGGGTTTGTTATTTTTTCCTCCTAAGGCAGGAAGAAAATAGAACTGAAATAACACATTTGAAGGTGGGGAAAACAATGGCTGAAGGCCAAGGAAAAGAAGAACGTTTATATTAAATAGTCTTGAGAATATTCTTTGTTGTGAGACCTCCCTTTTGAGGCCAGCAGTTTGGCAGATTATTTACTTGTTCTGGGTGTCAGACTTAGGGGGAATACTGTGGACATGAGGACCCTGGTCAGCAGGATGTGTGTTACCTTAGATTAGAGAAGAGTTTCCAGGAATGAGACCAGAGAGGTGACCGAGTTGAATCTGAAGACTCCTGGTGATTCTTTCATCTGTTGGCCAACTAAAGTCTACCTCTTACAGGGGTGTTTAGAGTGGTTTTAGTTTTGTTTTCCCTCCCTTCTGAAGAAAGACTTTGAGGTAAATCAGACCACAATCAGATAACTCTAAATTAATTTTTTTTTACATTCGCAAGGATTTTTAAGTGTGAGCAGTCTAAGCTTTTGAACAGATGGAGCTATACATTATAAAGTAGTGATGGAAAACAGATAAATTCGGAATATTTTGCTATTTATATAATAAAAACTTCTTTATGAAGAAGAAAATATTTTGGCGAACCATCTTATAATATGACCCAAAAAATGCTTAAAGAAAGAAAATTTTGTCTTGCTAGAATACATGTGGGACCAGAAACACAATTAATGTATATGACACCTGGAGTGGACTGTTTCTTAACATGCCCCTTCCTCTATACAACAAAATTATTTTCTCCGATAGTCATGAAATGTATAATAACATTAGCCAGTAAACATAAATTCTTTTATTGAATTTTATATGTGTAATTATGCCAGTAAAATTTTTTAAATCTAAAAATTAAAAAAATCTATTGCCTCCAGTATTTATTAACCCTTCCATTATATAATCTTGATCATTTATGTACATGACATTTATGCAGGTATAATAAACATGTGTAGAACAATATGGGGAAACCAAAAGCTATACCTGTAGTTCTCGGAGTTTAAAACCCCAAAATGATTTTGTCACTGAAAAGGATAAATTTGGAGTCAGTTTCTTAAAATTAAAAATAAAATCTATTGACTAATAAAAGGAAAAAAAGTCACTATGCAGAAAGCAATTTCATATAAGTGTCCAAAGAAAGTTTGATTTTCCTGTAAATAATGATTATAAGAATGGTCTGTGGACTCCATAACTTAGGTACTTTTTACTTGAAAAAAGACAACTAGTTATTATGTTAAAGTTTACTCCTGTCGTTATTTTAAGGATTTATGGTTTGTATTTTAGTTTTTATAACTGCTCTCTTAATATATTCTGAAGAAGCACACATTTTTGACACCAAGAGGAACATTTCAACAGATGATTTTCAGTATTATTGAAAATTAGAAGATACCTTATATTAGTAGCTTTCATTTATTTTGATGAAACTGTTCTGTAGCCCCCTTGTAGATTTTGGTCTTACCCTGAATTTGCCTTTATAAACACCATTGAACGTATTTAATCGAAGAAAAATATACTTTTTTTTAGTATAATAAGGAGCTTCCTATAATCGAGTTAATCTTCCTGTCAGAATTAAGATAAACAAAAATTCTTCCATTTAAATCATGAATGAATAAATTTTAAACTACATTTTCATGTCCTAGGAAATTTTGTTTTCCACTATTTGAAATTTGAAAATACTAGTAAATTTAATAAACTTAGGTTTACTAAATTGACCTAAATTTAGATTTGTAAATCTAGTAGATCTCACTGTGGTTTTACTGAAATTACTTCCTTACAGTAAATTTGATTGTGGGTCTTGACACCTGAGATCTTTCAGTTCATTTGTTTTCTTTCCACAGAAAACATTACGGCAAAGCATATCGTGAGTAATGATAGCTCGGATAGTGATGATGAATCACAAGAACCCAAAGGTAAGAGAGCTGGAAACTTCTCTGGCAGAAGTCCATGCAGAAAGGATTATGACTATTTCCTCTGGTTCTCTCACTGGAGGTGGTAATGGTAGTGTCTGCTTAAGGCACTAGTTGATAAAATTATAGCTTTCAGTTCAGAGAGAGAATTAATGCTGTCTATGTAATAAAATATGCAACACATAAATACTCCCTTATTTCTTTTCTTTTTACTACCTCAAAAATATTACCGATTGAGAAAATGGACAACAAGCTGAGATGGTAGAAATACAAAATTCTGTTTTAAATCTGATTAGAGAACTGGAATTTCAGCATGGAAATCGTGATATGGGAGCATTTTCACATGGCTTTAAAAAATTCAAATTTTATCGTTAAAAATTTTATTAAGTGACATCTGAAAAATTATATTCTCAACTCCGTTCTTGTCTCATTGCCAGCATTCCATCTCGTAGGAAGGGAGCAGCAACGAAGTGGGGTGAGATTATGTCGTCGCATATATTACTTTGTAGTATAAACGAGTTCCTTTACATTTTGACAGGGCAGCTTTCAGCTCGGTGTAGATCAGGATAGTCAGTGATGGAGTCGGGGCACGGATAAGGCAAGAATCAGGCATTATTTGTTGCAAATGGGGTCATTTTACATTTTGACACAGTGTTTTGACATGGCCATTTCTACAAATGTCCTCAATGGTACAAAAACAAAATAAAACACGAACAAACAAAAATCAAAGAGCAGATTTTATAACAACTAGGTGAACACATCCTATTATAGTCTGAATATAGATTTTAGAAGATAGTAAGTGATTTCTTGACCAAAACTTAACGAATTCTACAACCATGGTAAGTTATCGGAAGAAGCTGTTTCATCCTTGCTGAAACACTAAAATTAAAATTTTCTTTTTATAACTGGTCTGTTATTTCCTCATCAAATGAGTCTGTATAAATTGGAGATGCCTTTTCTGAGAAATGCAGTTACGTAGGCCCACAGCTTGGTTAAAGTGCAGCTTCTTGTGAACATCCTTAAAGGGATACAGGCTCGGGCAGGCAAAGCTCTCAACCAGGCACAAGGCTGGGCCAGTGGTGCACAGTCTGGTCTTTAGTCCCTATTTGCCTACTGTCCTGCTGGCATCATTCAACTGCTTTCACAGAATTGTTGTAATAGTCAAATTAGCAAATGCACACAAAGGGCTTTAAGTTGCAAAATGCTCTGCAAATAGAAATTTACTATTAGTCTTATAGCTAATAAGCAATAGATATCATTTATCTGTTCACTGCTGGGCTCGTTCCACAAATGATGCCGTTTTCAAATATATCACAGGGCAAGGAGATCTTCTGCTATTACAGAAGTGGGGTTTACTTAATAAATACAAAAATGCTGCTGCTGATGACGATGAAGTGGCAGCTCCAAATAATTTGGAAACTAATCGAATATCTTATTCATATCCTGCATAACTGGAGATATAAATCATTAATTTTAAAGCCTGATTTGTTTTAGCAAAAGACTTTCTTCATCATATTTGGCATTAGAAAAGTGTGGGAGTAGAAAAGAATATGTTTGGGTTTTTTTGTAAATATGTAGTAATTTGGATTGGCTCCTGACAGAAAGATCATTTCATTTACTCAGCTCAGTTAAGCTAATCTTTGTGAATATTAAAATCAGTATTTATTATGGTTTTATGTGTGTTTAGTTAACATTTATTGGAAATTATGAACTTCAAACATAGATTCTCTTTTCTTTCAACACACACATACACACACACAGAGTTTTGTATATATTTGTATAGAGTTTTCAGAAATCTGAACAGAAATGATTTAGGCAGGTGGGATCACACTACCATATAGTGTTCTCAGATTTGGATTATGAGTGAATAATATTGATGATGATAATTATGCTGCTGCTGCTTCTACTACAACTATTTCTACTGCTAACTAGTGTTTATTAAGAATTTAATATGAGCCAAGCACTTCTCTAAGAAATTTACATGAATGCTGTAACTCAGTTCATCCTCACGACAGCCTTATGAGGTTTCCTGATGAGGAAATGAAGGCTGAGAAGGGTTAACTAATTCGTAAACAGTGGTGAGAGGATTGAGATCAAGGCAGTCTAACTGTGGAGACAGTACTCTAAATAGCTACACAACATAGCTTCCCAGTAGTAGTGACATATACATAGGTTTTAAGGAAAAAGTCATTTAAAACTGCTTCTCTTAGAAACTGCTGAATTTTAAAATATTTCAAAGCAAATATTTAAATTACAGGATTTTAAACCCCAAACTTGATAAGCAGGGATGAAATGTTCGTAGAACATTCATTGAGCAGGAAATATATGTTGAATCCTTTAGTCGTCTGCTCTCAGTCTGCTTAATTTCTGGAAGTTTATGAAGCAAGATAGGGAAGGAAACTTGATGAAGTGGATAGGGTTAGGTACTTGGATTTTTCGTGTGTATGTGTGTCTGTGTTTGTGTATTTGTATGTGTATTGACAGGACAAAAGAAGAAAAGGATAGAGAAAGAGAGAAAGCAGAAAATAAAAGTTTGCCTGGAAATCTAAGAATAGACAAAGTGACAGTCGAGACTACGACCTTTAGACGAACTGTAGGTAAACAGTAAAGTAAGAACAGTTTAAGAACAAGAATGACTAACAGATATATACTGTATTAATTTATGCAAATAAACATTTTAAAATCAAAAGCCATAGAGCTTTTGTTAATTTTAACACTCAGTCGCCCAAAGATCTTTTTTTTTTTTTTTAATAAATTTTAGCATCCGTCTAATGAATGATCTTTCTTTTTCCTTAGGCACTGAAAATGAAGATGCCGAAAGGGAAGTAAAGTAAGAACAGTTTAAGAACAAGAATGACTAACATATATACTGTATTAATTTATGCAAATAAACATTTTAAAATCAAAAGCCATAGAGCTTTTGTTAATTTTAACACTCAGTCGCAAAGATCTCTTTTTTTTTTTTTTTTAATAAATTTTAGCATCCGTCTAATGAATGATCTTTCTTTTTCCTTAGGCACTGAAAATGAAGATGCCGAAAGGGAATATCAAAATGATAATCAAGCAAGTTGGGTCCATCGTATGATAATGGCCTTGATGAGTGATTCAGCTCTATTCAATACCAGGGAAGGACGTGCTGGGAAGGTTCACAACTTCATGCTGGGCTTGAATCTCAATACATCTTATCCACTGTCTCCTTTCAGAGACTTCACCACACAGGACTCCTTAGATGAAGATGAACTGGATGCTGCTGTAGCAGGTAAATATACAAAATATAATCCATGGAAGCTAGTTCAAGAGATCTTTCTTCCTTCTCTGTGGAGAAAAATTTTAGTTATTATTAATACTTATTTATACTCAATTACAAAAAAAAAACCCACATGCATTTAATCTGTGAAAAGCTTTGACTTACTGTGTTTTGAGAAAAAAATACATTGGACAGAAGGTGGCATAGTCATATTGGCATAAAAATTTTTCATTGAAATACAGAGAGGGACTTTAGATCCTTGTTCCCTTGTTTAACTGAAAGGGTTTTAAAATAGGGAATTAGATGTTTACAAAGTTGTTCCAAAGCTTAGAGGAGTGAGCTTCAGGCCTAGCTTCCAAAAATGGTTTCAAAAGCACTTCGGGATCACTCCCACAAATGCCCCCACATCGTGCTTGGCAGTAGAAATAGCGGGAACTTAAAAGCCTCTGCCTCATTTCCTCCCTCACCATTTACGTGGGTGTTTCTCCTTGGCAAAGGACAAGTCTCAGCAGAACCAGACTTGGAGTTGTAAGGGAGTCAGGCACCATGGTCCTGAGCCTGTCTCTAGAGCAGGGCAGTAAGGCATGCAACCTGGGAGTGGAGTGGCTGGGGCTCGCAGTCTGCAGCGTCCATCAGGATGTTGAATCTGGCCCTCCAGTTCTCGGCAATGTTAGTTAATTCTTTTAAGGCCACCTGTAAGAACCCACTCACTTTCAGGTTTGCCACTTAGTTGAATTCCAAAGAATAATTCCCTTATTCTTTAGTTCATACATGTTTCGAATTAAAAGTTGAATTTAACTTGATGACTAATCAATCAATACATAATAACCTTTCTTGTAACGATCCTGTCATCTTAAATTTTTCTACTTCATCATACCATCGCTCTTCCCTTAACTTCCCAAATGTCATTTCTGCCTAAGGACGTTGACAGGATGCTCTAAAAACTTAAATGGAATTTTTCCAAACAAACTTTCTACTACTCTTTGTTTAATCATTGTATCTATACAATATTTATGAAAATTAGGACATAGCTTTAGATCTTGGTCGTTTAGGTAGTGCTGTTTTTATGTGTCGCTCGAGCTTAAGGGAAATTGCAAAAGCAAAATTTACCCTTGTTTTTCAAACAAGAGGAGTAGAAACTCATTGTACCTTGCCTTATATTTATGGCATCAAAGTCTAGGATATGAGTTTCTGCCTGGTTATATACCTTCAATCCAAACCCTTTTATATGAACTGTCATGAAAGTCTATTTGTGATAAATTCAATGTCCATTTTTAAATTCATTTAAAAATTAAAAAAAAAAATAACACTGACCTTACCATCAGTGACATTAGTTTTCTTGTGTTGTGTTACAAGATTATATTTATGTCCATTACAATACCAATTGAAAAAAGCCCATTCATTATTATTCATCCATAAAGCCTAAAACATAGGCTTTATGGATGAATAATAATGAATGGGCTTTTAAAACACAACTTAGCCTCCTACAGTAGAGTTAAAAAGAATTTTTAGTTATTTTACTGGATAGAAAAGAAAGATCATGGAAGATAGTTATCGTCTTGGCCTAAAATTACTCAACTGAGTTAGAATTGGGACAGGCCCCCGGACATTGCTCAGAAGCCTTCTCCTGCTACACTCCCTCCGAGCCCTTAGTTTCATTAGTCATTGTCTTGCTGATGTAAAAATGGAACTTTCCTTTGTGTTTACTTGATTCCATCTGTTTTGCGTTATTGCTTTGATCACATCACCCCGCAAGGCTGCTTCTGCGGTTTGCATAGCAAGTGGTCTGCTCTCCACATTTTAACAACTTCCTGGTAGTTTTGTAATATTTTATGTAGATTCAGAATTGTTAGGATTGCTAGATAAAATACAGCATTTTTAGTTAAATTTTAATTTCGGATTTGTCGAGATACTTTGAAATGTTTTAACTAAAATTGTTTTAGATTAAAGATCTTTGGAAAAATTTTTAAATTTTATATCTTAGTGTATATCATTAAAATTCTATTTCACTCATTTCGTATTTATCCAACTGAAAAAATGTGTATAGCATATAGATTTTAATCAAAAATCCAGTTTGATCAGTGTCAAGTTTATTCAAATTTATTATTTACAGACCGATATTGCTAAAAATTACTGCATTTTAGAATGAATTTACTACATTGATAAGTGCTTTTTAGACACTGCCCTTATTAAGAGAGACTTTGTTTATCACCCTCTGGTTATTTATCTTCTTCCAAGTTTTAAGATTATCATGTGTGTGGAATGAAAAGTTAAAAGATTTATCATAAACTGTGATCATCTTAGTTTAAAAAGTCTTTATTAAAACTCCTACTTATTGTATAGCTAAAAAACATAATTTAATTAAGACATTAAGGTATTTCTCTTTTATTTTCGCACCCCCATGCCGAAAGAGAATTGAGATTTTTATCTATTCTAGATATTATGTTGAGAAAATCTTACATTTTCGTTTACCTTATGATGATTTTGTGTATACTGATTAAAACATGAGTATCTTAGCATTAAAACAACCTCTCAATGTAAAATGAGAAAAAATTACTGCACGTTTTTGTGCCTATTTCTATACCTTGCATACAATCTTTTGAAAACAAGAGAAATAATAAGATGACAAAATTCCCCTCATTTGTTTACTTCAAAATAGTCTTATACCTGTAAAAACTAATTTGGGCAAAGCTGTTCATTAGTTACGTGACTTCTTTCTTATTTACTTTTGTATTTATACTATTCACTGTGACATACACCATCTGGAATAAGAAATTGAGACATGAGTTCAGTTAGGCCAGAGTTCAAAACACAAACATCCAAATATTTGTGTGTCGTAAATTGAATCTGTGTGATATATTTAGAAAATGACCATCACAAATATCCACAGCCAAACTGCTTTAAGGAAATGGTCATAATTGTAAAATATAGCCTATTTCCATACCTATCAAAAAAATGGATTACTCATTCACAGGTCTGGAAACCATGTATGCTTAAGTTATGGGAGGATATTATGTCATAATGGCATTTTCAGTCTCTGTGACATTTTAGTAGATATTATGCAATAAATTGAGTTCGAGTTCAAATAAATTTGGAAAACTAACAACTGCATCCCCCTCTTCAAAACGCAGTGGGCACTCTAAGGAGCATGAGAAGTCCTACTTAAAGGTGCCTCAGGTATAGTACTTTAAAAGCAGACTGGCTTACATTGGGATCCTGACTGGATGATTTATTGGCTGGACACTCTTGAGCAGTTACTTAGCATAAGCCTCAGTTAACGATGAGAGAAAAGTAGAGTAAAACTAAAACTAGCAACTCTGACTGATCCTGATGGAACCGTAGGTTAGTGAGGATTCAACAGTCTTCACTGTTTCCTCCAAGTTCACTTATAAAATAGAAATAGTAGAGATACTGATGTGAGGATTAAGTAGCAGCTTTATTAAAAAGTGCTGTTAGTCCACGGCATAGTAAGGAGAATAAGAGACACACAATATAATTGCCCGTTACTTTAAACTGTTGAATCTTAAATTTCTCAAACCTATTTGATCATGGAACTCTTATTTTGTATATAGGACATCTGTTAATATCTTGCAAAACTATGTGCTTTGAAATAATTAAGAAACACGACTTTCTGTCAGTTTACCTGGAAGGTTGGAACCTTGGTGTTTAGCTACATGACAGAACTGAAAATTGACCCACACAATAATTTTTCTCTCAAATGAAATCTTGGATTTAAAAAGGAAAAAAAAAAAAAAGAAGACTACAGCTTTATGATGAGAAGGGGAAAATCAAACAGAATATGAGAAGAATGGTCTGTTTTTGGTTAATCTTTTAGTTACATGTCAAAAAGCACTAAGTTTATAAAGCCAAATAAAAACATTTGTGAATTATACTTTGCTATAATGTATATAATAATATAAATGATTATATAATGGTAATCTTTTATTAGGAAAACTCACTGCATGTAAAAATTTATTTCTATTAATGTGTTTTTAATTTTTTGTTTACTTGTGATAAAATACACACATTAATGTGGTTTTAAAGATTGATAGATGCACGTGTAGATATCCTCTATACATTGTAGTTATTCTTTTTTAAGTTATTCATTTTAAACCTTTTTAGTTTTATGACCATGCCACTTAAGTAACAGTGTGACACTGTGCATAGTGCTTCAATTTTGTGAACCTGGCTTGGAATCTTGACTTTTAGTACCTCTGTGAAACTGGACCTCTTTGGGCCTCAGTTTCCTTACCTTTAAAATGACACCGATAATACCTCCTGTAAGAGTCTCATGAAGATGATAAATCTTATATGTGAAATTTCTAATATACTATAGACACTCAAAATAAATGAAGCTGCTTTTATAAAAAATAAAAGCACTCAAATAATGGATTTTAGGCTTCTTAGTAAAATATTTAAAAACTAATATAAGACAAAGACAATTTTTTACCTTTAAAAATTCCACATATGTAATTTTTAAACAAAAATTTCAAAAGAATAAATATTAAAATAAGGTTCGATATATATATATGTATTTCACTTTTACAATTCTTAAGTTTCAGGTTCTGTGGTGATAGATAGAAATTTAGAATCTTGACTGGTGGCAAAGTATATTGTCATTATAATCCATAGATACTTGATAAGAAAATAGAATAAACCTGAAGGTAATTATTGAAAAAATAATTTCTCTTCTCTCTCATCATTGGCATAGGCATTCACCTTGGATTTTTTTTTTAAACTTGGCCTGTCTTTTCATTCAGTCATACGAACTTATTCTTATCTAAACACAGTCCCCCATAGCTTTTTTTTTTTTTTTAACATATTTGTTTTTCATTTAAGATTATTTATTTACACCTTTTCTAACTTCCTTCTGCTATTCGGGGCAGTACAAGTAACTTCAGCTGTAAACTTTTTTTCTTTATTCATAAACATCACTACTATATGTTTATAACATTCGGTATTTTAGAGACGAGAAATTTTAATAGATATGAGAAAACACATGGCTCTGTTAACTGTCAAAACTTAAGATATTAATGGTTTCTTTTAAATGACTGAATCGAAGTCTAATTCAGAACTGTTTCGAATCATATTGAATAAATTTCATGGCTCATTTTCTCATTGGTGTTTTAAATTTTAGCTTTTAGTGATGATAAGGATTGTGGATTTAATTGGACAGTAAAAGTTTAGACATTTGCCTTTCCGATCTCTTGCTCTTAAATGTAATAATAAAATTGACTATGAGAGAATTATAGTCAGTATCATTCTTATTTAGAAATATACAGAGGAAACAAATAAGCAGTGGTTTCCTACTATGTGCTGAATATTTTCCTGGATTATAGATATTAACTACATGTCATAGGTGCTTCCATAAACACAGGTTGGTCTGATTCTCTCGTTTTTGTTGTTTGCTCTATGAAAGTGCTTGCCAAATGGAATTTAAAAGCTTGCTCAGAGGTCATAATTCACGTCTCATATGAACATCACTCTAGTCTACTGTCATAGACCTCTCTCTTGAACCCTGCCAGCCTTCTTCCTAACAGAACAGGTGGGAACAAGTGTGAGGACAAGGGGACTGGACAAAACCATTGCATGTCATGTTCTTAAGGTCGAATCAAGTCAATTCTGATCACATTCCTTTTTCCTAGAAATTGAATTAGGAGCACCACAAATAAATGGGAGGAGCAGCCTGTTCTCAATACTATTTTTTTCATAGAACTCATGATTCCTAGGCCCTGCTTTCTCCGAGATCCCTTGTCATCTTAATTCCACGCTCCTACCATGCTATAGCCATACTGGGCTCCTTGCTGTTCCTCAGATATATGAAGCTTTATTCTGCCTTAAGGCCTTTGCTCTAGTTCTTCCCCCTCCCTGGAAAAATTACCTCCTAATTTTTAGATAGCCAGTTCTGTATTATTAATGTGGTCTCAGCTCATGGTGTCCTTCTCAGAGCGTTCTCTCCTGACTATGCAACTGAAGTTACTCTCTATTATATTACCCTCTTATTTTCTTCAATGCATTTATCACTGCCTGAACTGTCTTTTATGTATTTGTTTACTAATTTATCAGCAGTGTACTCAGAGTCTAAGCTCTATTAGAGCAGAGTTTGCACGAGTCATTTTAGCACTTAGAAGAGTGCCTGAATAGTAGCAGATGACACCTGTTGGCTGAATGTGTTGGCGGAATTATCGTCTTGGACTCCCATCACCTACAGAGATGCAGTGTGTGACCCATTCAGACTCTGCCACTCCCCACTGTGTCACTTTAGAGATGAATTGAATTTGTTTTATCCTCCATATATACATATCCTCTATCTCACGTGTCTCCTGTGAGACTTAAACAAGATGATGTCTGAGGACATATTTTTAAACCGGGAAAGACCTGTGCGATGTGAGGTAATGCTAATATAAGGGATTGGGCTGCACAGCTTAGAGCTGATACCAGTACCTGAGCTGAGTACTTTCTGAGCGTTGTCTTACTTATTCCTCGGAGCAGGTTTATTTGCTAGATTTTTTTACCCTGATATTACAAATGAAGAAACTAAGAGTTAAAGACAAAAATTCACATACAGTGCTAAAGCTGGACTCATGTCCAGCTCTGTTTGTCTCCAAAACCTGAGGGCCTAGTCATATAGAATTCTATCCTATAAAGTTACAGAACAGATATTTTTATACTCTAAATAATAGTAATTGTTTGATTTATTTATTTTTCCTTTTGAAAGATCCTGATGAATTTGAACAAATATATGAACCTCTGGATGTCAAAAGTAAAAAGATTCACGTAGTAGACAGTGGCCTCACATTTAACCTACCTTACCCCTTGATCCTGAGACCTCAGAGGGGAGTTGATCTCATCATCTCCTTTGACTTTTCTGCGAGGCCAAGTGACTCTAGTCCTCCGTTCAAGGTAAGGAGAATTTATATAGCATTTCGTTATCTACCACATTCTCTTGCATGCCTTGTAGATATCACATGAAAGTTTATACTCCTGAGCAGGACAAGAATGATGCAATGTATCTGAAGTTTAGGAAGGAAATTAATCTGAGATTTGGGAGTTAACAGGTAAAAGATTATTAAAACCATGCTTGAGGGATGTATACTGTGAGAACAGAAGACATGAAACAATATCTTGAAGATCCAAGAACAATATCAGTGGAAAAGGACGAAACCAAGGAAGTGACCAGTGTCGTGAAAACCAACTGAAGATGTTTTAAGAAGGGAGTCTTTAGTGAAATGGACAAGAGCAGTTTCAGTAGGGTCGTCAGGGCGGAAATCATGCTGCTGTGATTGGAGAAACGAGTGGAAGTTAAAAAATGGGGACAACTCTATAGACTGTGCGGTGAAGAAGGAGATGGACTACAACTGCAAGGGGATATGGAGAAGAGGAAAATCATGTGTGTGTGCACCGAGGGGTGGGTCGTTAATAGAAAAGACTCGAGCATATTTTTGTTTAAATGCCAGTGGCTAGGAGTCATTAATGAAGGTGTTATTGGAGGATGGAGAGATGACATATATGATATCATATATGACATATATGATAACCTTTGCAAGGTTACAGGAGTGAGGGATGGAAAGGAGATCTAAAAATACAGGTGGCGAGTAGTGTAGAAATGTCTGTATTGGGGCAAGAAGGAAGGGAGGAGATAATGGCCGTGGCATGAGCTTCATTGTTAGGCGTGGAGAAGGGAAGTTAAGAACATACTCGTTTGGTGACTTATAACTTTTATAGGAATTAGGAGTCAACATTATCTTTTGAGAGCAAGGAGATGGAGGTGGTGGACCCAGGGGCATGGGGAGAATAAAAGTCTGCTTCTGTGAAGAAATGAGAGGAAGTTCTAAGTAGGCATTATGCAAAGACTGCAGGGCTGCTGTGTGGCCTCACCCAGGTGAAGCCATGACTGATTTTGTTCCCTCCACCTGGGAACACCTCGGACTTTCTTTAAACACACCTCAAATGCTATCTTTCTTGATCTCCACAGGTATAGTTTCAGTACGAAGGACTTGGTAAATGCTACTGATACAGCAATCTTCATGGCGCGTTGTCTATTTATTTACCTCTCTATCACTTCTGTCTGTGAACTCCTTGGGGACTAGAGCACTATCTTGTATGTATGTGTGTTTGTTTTGCTTTAATTAATTTGGTTCTAATTGCCTCATAAGTACCAGTCAAAATGTGAGTATGTAGGACATTTTTTGTGGGTGAATGAATAAAATGCTATAAGAGAGGTAGAGTCATTGTTCCTGTTTCGTAGATTAAGAAACAGAAACTCGTTGAGATTAAGCAAAATGGTCCATCATCTCCCAAACCGGGAAGAGTCAGCAATAATCCAGGTCCTCTGATATCTGATTTCCTTTCTATTACACTATGATGAAACTGCTCTCAAGACTAATAATGGTTATAATTCATTAATATATATAAAACCTCATATTTTAAAAATACTTCATATTTTATCTTTTTTTGAGGCAGTTAGTGGTATGCAGACAGAGAGAAAAGAATAGGTGAGTTAAGCGATCTCATCGCATCGAGAAATTAAATAAGACAGTGGGTGTAAAGATCCTAGCCTAGGACCTGGCAAGGCAAGTGCTAGTTAAGAAGTGGTCAAGCCGGACAGGATCCAAGGCTCCAGAATGAGAATCTAATG